CCAGAGCTATGTAAAATGACACTGCAGCCTTCTTGTTCGTGCAGCATATGCTAGGCTTATAAAGTTTGCTGCTTAAAAAGGACAGTAATTGCTTTCACTCTTATCCTACCCTGGCTGTAGCTTTCAGTAAAGATGGGGATTTCAGCTCTTCCTAGTGACAAATCCTCAACCTGATCCACATAGGCAGGGTGGCGGAGATTCTGGATCTTGTTCCCCAGCTGCTTCTCTCTCCTACCAGAATGCAGACAGCTGAATCACTCATAGGGATTCCAGATCATGCTGGCCAATCTCATCCCCAGTCACGGCCAAGAGACTGCCTCCAAAATAAAACAGGAAAAGGGATCTGTTCTGAGGGGCAAATTCTGTTGCCCTGTCAGTGGATTGATCACTGCTACCCCAGGGTTCAGGCACATCAAAGCCTATTTGCTGCTCACCCTGTCACCAGAACTGGTTCTGGTTCAGGTATCAGAAACCCACAGGCAAAGGAAAAATAAGTTTCCTTTCCTTGTTCCCTTTTAAGCATTAAACCCATGAATGAACACAGAACTGTGTGTTACAAGAGCCCTCAGGGCCCAAGGGTAGCAGAGGATCCAGGAGTGGGGGTGGTGTGGTCACACCTCCTTCCACTGTGTAGGACACTCAGCTTTCCCATTCCCTGGGCAATGGCGTGGGGGTGTCACCCAGGGGGGCGGGGGCAGGCATAGAGCAGATGCAGAAAGAAGAGTCACCCACCACCACTGTCTGTGGCTGAACTCAGCACCCTAGGCTGCCTCTCCTGACAGCTGAAACCCCTGGGCAGGCGATGGACACTAGGGGCCCAACTGGGGAACAGCTGCAGGCCTCAAGGAGCAGTAGTCAGCAGACCACCCCTTTCAGTGCCTGCTCCCCAGCTGGAAAATGAAACCCAGAGGGACAGGCAGTGCACAGGAAGGGGGGTCCTACCTGCCACCACTGTCCCCCATACCCCACACAGACAATCCTGGCTGCTGAAGTCTCCAGCTGGTGGGGGAAAATGGGGGGAGGTGAAGGGGAAGCAAATAGATGTAGGAACAGGGACCTTCATGTTGCTGCTGCTCTCAGCTGGGCCTGGAAACCCATGCAACCACTCCACAGTCTCCAGCTGGAATGGGCAGGAGCAACTCTGGGGCTCTCCCCATGCCTATGCCAACCAGACAGCAGATGGTGGCAGTGGACAGGCCCTGGATTACCTATCTTCCTGCACCCTCCTCGTGGTTCCACACCAGCAGTGGGGCTCCAGCCATGCCTCACCCCCATTCCTCCCATGGTCTGAGGAGAAGCGTACCACATCTCTGTTTATTAAATTCTAGAGCCAACTATGTCCCCATATAGAGAATAGTGGCCCCATCCAAGAGGCTGCATACAGTCTGTGCTTCATGGTCAAGTGGAAAACTAGGAATCCATCTAGGTGCTGGAGCTCATTGGAGTCATCTACATGTCTGGGGCACTCATGGAAAGTCAGTGTTGGTCCTGCACAGGAAGACTGGTGCAGAGGACAACAGGCCTCTTGCCTCTGGGTTGCATCACCTGCAGAGCTGGCTGGGAGCCTTCACTGTTTGGCAGAGCACCTGGGGCCAGGGTGCAAGGCATCAGACAAGGATCTTGGTTCAGTTTCCAGCAGACAGGCGCTCCACTCATAAAGAACTGCCTTCACAGTCACTCCAAGCAGCCAAAGCAGATTGCCAAGGACCTGAAAGAGCAGGGGTACCTCTCCCTCATAAGAGCTCACTACAGGTCATGGGGAACCAGGCTGCCAGGGGAATGGTGGGAGGGGTCTTGACTTGGCACTATCCCACCATGGCCTCTCCTCCAGCCCCCCAGGGGTGCAACTGCTGTGCCACACCATGAAGTTGGCAGGAAGTTGACAGCTCAAGGGGACAGGGCGCCTCTCCAACTAGCACTTCTTGACCTAGTCCTAGGCACCACGTGGGAGTCAGACATGGAACAAGGACAGAAATTCTCTACTCTAAATCAACAGCTGAGTTCCAGTGCATAGGAAGTACACACAACACCTGGGTGCCTTATCAGGGTGACATTTCCCTTGGGTTCCTGGGGCTGGTGCCAGCCCTCCTCATTGAGACCTGTTCTAAACTGGTAACTTAACCCATTTTTCACATGCATTCAGCTGCCATGAGAATAACAGAGGCTAGGTAATTACTCTCCTCAGGGACTGGATCACTAATCAAAGGGACGGCTGCTTCACTATGCTTCACTAAATACTTGTGTGTCCAGCAAACACTGCCAGGATTCATTCCCTCTGTTTTCTAAGCTCCCAGCAGGAAGGCAAAGAAGCTGCAAGAGCAGAACACAGAGAGATCTGAGCATCTAATGAACTCAGCACCTCTCACCATTTGATCATAGGGATTCAGGCCCTTTCTACAAGAGACTGGGTTAGCAAACTGCTACATGGTGCACCACGTAGAAGATGTAACAGAGAACCCATGTTCCTGTTGCTAGGAAGCCCTGAGAGGCTGAGAAACCCAAAGCCAAAAAGAGCAGCAAGGAGTAGCAGTCGAGGTGGATTGAACAAAGGACTAAAAAGATCAGGCAGCTAATGAGGCAATTAGCTGCACCTGGTCCCTGGGTGCAGACTATCCAGTCACATAGCTGGAAGGAAGCTGGGCTTGGGGATATAAGCCCTGTCTCTGACCATGCAAAAGGGCCTCTGCATGTGGCAGGGAGAGGTTCTGCTACAAGTCAGCTAGTTCACCCACCTAAGGTGGGTTGAGAGCACTTTGGAGGCAGACCTGAGGGTAACATTTACCCAGAGCAAGGGAGACTATTTTTTTTTTTGTGAAGCAGCTGGCTTGTGTTTGTTACAAAGAAGATGGAGCTAGACTGTCCTGTGTGATAGATGACAGAACAAGGAGCATAGTCTCAAGCTGCAGTGAGGTTTAGGTTGAATGTCAGAAAAAACGCTGTCTTATTAGGAGGGTAGTAAAGCACTGGAATGGGTTACCTAGAGAGGTGGTAGAATCTCTATTCTTGGAGTTTAAGGCCTGGCAAAACAAAGCCCTGGCCGGAATGATCTAGTTGGGAATGCTCCTGCTTTGAGCAGAAGGTTGGACTAGATGACCTCCTGAGGTACCTTCCAACCCTAGTATTCTATGTTCAATTTTGAACCCGAGACCAGAGGACTAGGTTGTGCATACAGGGGAGGGAGAAACACCCCCCTGCTGCAGCCAGAGGGGCTGAGACTGGAAACTGGACCCCCAGAAGTGGCTGCCACCAAGGCAGGGCTGATACCCAGGAGCTAAGGCCTTAAACAGTGGACCAAGGCTGAGGGTGTGGGCCAGAAGAAAAGGGGGCCAAGGCTGTGACAGCTGAAATCTTGACAGGTACTTGGAAGCCTGTGGGATCACTCTGTTAAAGGAGAAGCACTTGAGGGAGAGCAGAGGCCACAGGTGAGGGGCTGGTCTATCCGAGCAAGCAAAGCTACCAGTGAGGTTACCACGAGCCCCAAGGACCCCTTTCCCCCCAACAAGCAACATTTGTATGCAACAATTTTGATGTTGAGACTGGGGGAGATGAGACCAGGCAAAAGCTGGCAGAGGTATCAGACCACAGGAGACCAGGATGGTAGACTTATTTACAGCCACCCCACCCCCCGAAAAAAAAAAAAAAAAAAAAAAAAAAAAAAAAAAAAAAAAAAAAAAAAAAAAAAAAGGGTATCAGAGACCAATTGTGTGGCCTGTCCGGTGATTCTGACATGGGGAGGGGATCAATCTCTGAGGCTGGTCCTAACCTCTGTACACCCTGGCAAATTACCTGTGTAGAGAATGGTTCTCTAGTATGTCCTACTGCATTTTCAACAGATCCCATTAGGAACCAAACTAAACACAGAGCTGAAAACAGCTCTCACAGACCAGCAGGGCCAAAAAACTAGGCAGGAAGATGACAAGCCCCAGGAAAACCATACGTCATTAGATGCACTCATTTTACAGTACCACCTTGGAGAGTTCTCATTGCAACATAGCCTGCTTCCTGGCAGGCGTGCATGCTGTGCATTGCTTTGGGGGCAAGAGACGCTGTCATCTGCTGTAATAAAGAACCAGGAACTTATGAGAGGGAACATGACTAAAGGAGCCCCTAGCTTCCGGCATGCTGATGAGTTTTCAGCATCTTGTTCTTGACTTGTAGTATGACCCCATTCACCTTCCTGCTAGGGTTCTAGCCCTGACCTTCTGTACAACTGCAACTGCCTGACCCATATATGAGAGGAGGGAAGGCACCTCAGACCCCAGCCATAGCTTTAGCTCCAGGTGCATAATTCTTCATAAACCCCCAGTCCAAAATGGAAGCATCAGACTAGCCCTGAAATTAGCTATAGGTTCAGTGCATTTTCAGGACTCCCTAATGACCGAATGGTCCTAATTTATCATTAAACTGAAACAACACTTGATCTTAACCATGTATAACAACCTACAAGGTTCTTTCCTCCCACTAAGGAGGTGTAAGCAGGGCCTGTGCAGCTTGATAACACCTTATCACATTCCTGGGGCCCCTCACACTCCACCTTGTCCTGGCTAGTTAGCTTTAATCAGTGTGACCAGCTATAGTGGTGGCGACCCACCCTGCAGAACAGCTCACTTGCT